GGCGAACGTGGAGAATTTCGGGGCAGCGGTGTTACGAAATTTCGCGCGACGCGGTTCGCGAAATCTCTCTCGTCTCTCCGCTTCCATCCCGGTGAAATCGTCGTTTCGTATGGCCACGACTGTTCCATTCTTTTCTCTCTCTCTCTCTCTCTCTCTCTAGGCTACCAGCCTCGTCATCCTGGGAATATATTTTTTCGCGCGTCGCTCACCGACGCGTAGGCTCGTCGGATGTGTAGGCTCATAATGAAATTACCGCGCGTGTCAGCTGCGCGAAGACACGGTTTCACGCGCAGTTTTTGGGCCGTGGCCAAGAGTATCCACGGAAAATCATTCCATCCCTTCGTGTGATTTTAACGCGTTTGAAAAAAACGTCTGGCGGAGCGAACGCGAGAGAGATTGTTTGGTTACGTGTACGTCTGTCGAATAATCCCAAACAATCCCTGTTCTTTAATACTACGCGGATTTACAAAATCTGTCGAAATGACGGTTTCCAGGAGATTCTTTTCCTTCCTTCTTTTCTTTTTTTTTCTTTTTTCTCTCTAAGCCACGTAGCACTCGGAAATGGCGCGAGAAAATTAAAAGTTCTTTGCCAAGTTCTTTCAACTTCGTTCCTTAGGAGGAGCATACGGATCGTTCTAGCATCGCTCGATACTTAAAAAAAAAAAGGTCGGGTAGATAGAGCTCGCGATATTTTAATATTCGAAAAAGAGAAATTTGAAAAATTGGAACGTCGGCGCGCTAGGCAGAGGACGTTTTTAATTAAAGGGGAGAATTATTAAAATATACGCATTTGACAAAATTAATTTCAACTTTCATTCGGACCGAAATATACATAATTACACGCGCGCCCTTTATTTTCGTTATACCAATTTAATTATAACCATCTACGTGTAACATATTTAAATAGCGCGCGCGTCCACGCGTTTAGTTAATTTATGCACAAACACGATCTATAGGTACTTGAACTTTCTCGAACGCTTTTCAACACCTTTCCAACACCTCCAATTTTTCTCCGCGCAAATCCTCTTATCGCCTCGCCACACCGGTTTATAATCGATGCCTAATTAACGGAGAGGAGGTGTTATATCCGTTATATCTTTCCACCTATGGAACCCCTACTTTCTCAAATCCCTCCTCGTCAAAATTAGCCACACCCTTCCCGAGGTATATTCGTATTTATTAGAGGATCGCGTAGCGAGCTCTTTCTCTCTCTCTCTCTCTCTTTTTTTTTTTTTAACTGTGAAAATGGCCCACTCTCGAGCGCACAATTTCATTAAGGGCGACGTCCACTTTCCTGTTTTCGCCGCATCACTTCTAATTCTCGACCACGGCCGAATTTTCAGCCGCTCGGTCAATTTTCGCCCGTTGCACGCAACCCCGTTGTTCCCCCGGACTATTTCGAGATATTCGAGGTTTCCTCCCCTCCTCCCCTTGTGCTCCGAGACGCGCACGACGAGATTTATCGCGCGAAATCGCGCGGCGCGCTTCCAATTAACCCTCGAATAAATTCTTGCTCTCGGCCCCGACTTTTCCAAGAGAAGAGAGAGAGAGAGAGAGAGAGAGAGTAGTAATAGTAGTTGTAACGGTGATGGTGGTGGTGGTGGCGATGGTACGACGGACGACATATTGTCGTTGTTCCATTGTCAGATCGCCAAGTTTACAATTTACCACTATTTTATCTCGATAATGTACGTACGGCGAACGGCACGTTGCCAAAGATAGGTTCGTATAAAACTCTTAGTGTATTAAGAGTCAGAATTTGGCGAAAGCAAAAAAAAAAAAAAGAATGCAATTGTCACGATATATCCAATTATTATCGTTGACACACGTTTAAAATACGATTCTGCTTCTGCATCGTACAGTTTTAACGTCGGGGGGGGGGGGTGAGAAAAATTTTATAAAAAAGGAACTCGTCCTCGTTGTTGTATTAACATCAACGACGCTATATATATTTTCTTTTAATCTAAACAGGCGGGAAAGAAAAAAAAAAAAAAAGAAAAAATCGATGGAACGAGCTCCTTTGAAAGCGCGTATCGCCTGCGCCGCGATATGTTTTTCCATCCCCGATCCCATCGAGGAGGAGGGTCCTCCTCCCACGAATATTTAACGCGCGGAAGACGCGGTTCCCCGTTCGCCTGGAAAATACCGATAGGCTTGGCATTGTACCACCTCCTCCATTCAATCTCCCTTCCCCCCTATCCCTCGCTCCCTCCCCTTTTTTCGCATATTCCGATCCGAAGGTCGCGCGAAAAAAAATCCCCAACCGACGGCTTTCAACGGCGCGGCGCGTTTTTCGGTTTCTTGGCGAATCGCGGTGAAAGCAGCAATCTCATCACCCGAGTATCGTGATGGAGAAACGATTGTAAAATTGTTCGAAAGACGCGGAGCAACGCGTAATCGGATTTTCGGAGGAGGAGGACCGATCGAGCGGCGACGATTCGAGGAAACGCGATCTGTATGATCAGGAGGGGGAGAAATGTTTGGAACATTGTATCGGGGGAGAATTAAATAAAAATCACGCGAACTAGAGATTTGGCGAGCGGGTTCGGAACGGAGCCAGAAAACGAGATGAGCGGTTCGCGGCGTTCGCTCGGCTGCTCGTCCGCATTCTGCTCTGCATATGAATGAGGGGAGAGGCGGCGAGGCCTCGGGTGGATGGAAGAGAAGCGGAGAATCGTGATGGTGGTGGTTGGGTTGGGTTGGGGGGGGGGGAGCATCGAGTCGGGGAAGAATATCGGCCAAAAGAAACGGAACGAAAGGAACGACGCTGCGTTTATTAAACTGTGCGCGGACGTGTGCGCTCCTTTTCCTCTTCTCCTTCATCGACTTTATCCGCCTATGCACGCTCCACTTCCCCTTTTCCCTTCTACATCTACGTATATGCACTCTTTGCACCCTTTCTCGACTCCACCGCGCGCGAAAATAGCGCGATTCTGGCTACTTACGCTCCTCCTTCCCTCGTCTCCTACTATTTTCTCTTTTTCACCGATCCCTCGAATTCGAATCTTTCGCCTCTCTGGAGCATTATCCTTTCCTAAGCAAAAAGTTACTCGAGAACGAATGTCAACGAGAGAGACTTTGTCGAATCGCGGATTGTCTCCCCCCTGAAACTTTGCTTTCGTACAATCGAAAGAGAGAGAGAGAGAGTTTGTTTGAGAAAGGATCGACAAAGTTTTCCTAGGCCGGTGTCGAATCGAGGTAAACGATTGTTCTACGCTCGAAACTTGCAGTATGACGAAGAAGGGAAGTTAATAGGTTAGTTTCCTTTCGTAGCCACCTAATGGAGCAGTCCTTTCTGCCTTTTCCCTCCTCTTTCTTCTTCTTCTTCTTCTTCTTCTTCTTCTTCTTCTTTTCCCTCGTCATCTCGAAAGGGTTAGCAGCAGGCAAGTGTTCCTCGAACGCGCAGATGTTCCACGGAGCGTGGAGTATACGCGGAAACCGGTGTCCACTCGAATGAGAACACTGGTCCTATTATACATAGGAAACACGAAACCTCGTCGTTTCAATCTCGACGTATTTAAAAAATATGTATATAAGACTCGCGCGACTCTCTTCGCTCATCGAAACACCACCCACGGAGTTTCCTATCGTCTCTCGTATCTTCGATCGATATTATCGATTAATCCTTTCGCTACTACGGGCGACTAGAGTCGCTCTGCACAAGATTCCACTATTGGAGCTATTGCACGTGGGGGGGTATCTTTATCTGGAAATATAGTATTTTGTTTTTATCATTAATTTTTTCTCAATAAACACCGTTAAAACAACGATTTTTCTCGAGCACCGTGCACATTTTTGGTGCGGCGGCGGAAAACTCGCCCGTAGCGAAAGAAAATTGGAAGCGCTCGCGCGGAGATCGATCGTCGAAATGGCGCTTTTCGGATGACGAATAGATTCGGCGTCGCATCGAATGATACACGTCGCATCCTCGCAGGATTGGAACGTCATAGGTTGCGGAGAGGGCGAAACAATTAATCAAGGGAATACAATCGTGCGTACAGAACCGGATGGAGGAAGGGGAGGGCGGAGGAACCGTTGTTGGCGTGACTGATTCATTATGAGAGTGTAATTAAGTCCCTGTATTAGCATATTAGCGACTAGAGATGGAGACCGTTGTTCCACAATCGGCCGGCAGCGAGCGGAACCATTTGACCCGAAGCCACTTCCTAACGCTAACGAGACACCTATCTATCCTCTCCCCGATGAATCGCGCGCACGCGAGTGCACGCGTGTACGGCGCGCAAAGAGAGAAGAGAAGAAAAGCGCTCAGAATTACGACCGCTATCCTCCATTCCCTCGCAACTATTCTCTCTGGTCACCAGCCATTAAGAGCGGGTCGCGTAGACGCGTATCTCTTAATTAGCCGGCGAAAAATCCACTCTCTGGCCGCCGTGGGGAGGGAAGAAGGGATCCTGACCCGTTATCAATTTAACCCAACTTTCTCGGTCAACCGGGTATTTTTCTTTTTTTAACCTCTCCCTTTGCCTCGTGCGCTGCCCCCTGTTTTCCCTCGACGGTATCCTCGTTTGCTAACGAGTTTATCCTCCACGACCTCTCCCTTCCCTTTCCCTTCCTTCGCCGTGGTTTCTCCCTTTTGCTTCCTCTCCCTGGAAGAATTGTTCGAGGCTCGCGTACGATCGCGGCTCCACCCAAGTAACGAGATTTCCGGCGTAGATTGTTTCCCCCGTGCCTTGCGTTTTGCGGCGTTCCAGGGCGGGAGCACGGATCTGGAAGGAGTAATTCGGTTTTCGAGGGAGAAAAGAGAAAACACCGTTCGACTCGAGCGAGCAGCTCGGCCGAAAAAGAAGGAGGGGGAAGGGGGGGGGAAAGGGAAAAAAAGAAATCGACCGCCACGCGAGTCGAAAGAAGAAGAAGAAGAAGAAGAATAGATTAGGAAGGTGGTGCGTTAAGGGAGGAAGAGATAAAGCTTCTCTCCCTCCCCCGATTAATAGTTCTGTCAATAAGATTAATCGAGCGTTGATTTTCCGCGTGGTTTTCAGCACGCTGAGGTGGAGGATGGAGGAGCTGGAAACGCTGGAGAGCACGGAGTGCCCCGAGTGCCCCGGGCCACCCCCCGAGTTCCGGTTACCGCCACCCCCTCGGCCACCCTTCCTCACCGACGGCACCTTTTGCTCGGAGGAGCCACTCACCGAGATCGAAGATTGCGTCGCCATCCCGGTAAGTCCGATTCCTCCTCGATCGCCTTTTATCGTTTCCGCCGCCAATTATCGAACCGCTGCAAAAAAAAAAAAAGATTAACCCTTTCCACTCGTATTTATATTTGAGAAACGGTTAACCGATCGAGGTAACGAGAGTACTTAGAATAAAAATTATATTACACGTGCATTTTTACTAATGCAAAAATGTAGGATGGCGAGGATTAAACTTTAGTCCAACGCTTTAGGATTCTACGCGAGTTTCGTATATTTCGTATAATTCGAAATATTTTTTCGTGCGAAGTTGTATGATTTGTCTCTTCTCTGAAGTCGAACCGCGTGATTCGCGCGATATCGAACGATACGCTCAAAAAAAAATTCTCCCAAAGTTTGCCCATTTTATACGATTTATCAAGTTTGAATTTAAGCAAAGCTACGTTTCAATTATCGAGCGGTATATAATCGCCGGAATAGTCGAATATTCCGTTTTAACGATACGCATTGGCCGGTGTGAAAAGGGAGAGCACGATACAATCTTCTTACACGCAGTGGAAAGTCGTGCAAGGACTCGGCTCGAGATCGAACGAATCGAACGTCTACGGTGGAATCGAAAGGTTCGATGAGTCTGGTGGAATAGAAATCCCTGAATAGAGAGAAACGGAATGGCGAGGAGGGGAACAGGTGGCAGAAAAGAAACCGGTCGAAGAAAGAGCGTCGCGCTACGTTGACGGTTGCTCGATTCATATCGAGAGGAGGATTTTTAAGGCGGGATAAATTCCGGGGAACTCCTTATCCGACGCCGGCAAATTGAATCGGGAACGCGGGGACACAAAAACCTCTCTCTCTCTCTCTCTCTCTTCTTTTGTTCGTTACTTTTTCTCCTTGAGAGAGAAATGTTCTCTTGACGAAATGTCCCTTCGGATGTGTTCGATCCAAGGAAATTTTCGAAAATAAAAAAGAAAGAAAGGAAGGAGAAGGGAACGATCGTTTCGAAACGACGTTAAACGAGAGACGAGGGAGGAGGAAAAAGGAAGAAAAGGACATCTATTAACGGCGATCCAGGAATACGCGTGTATAGCCGCGTTAACTTTCTCGAAACGCCGGGGAAAGAATTCCAATTAAAGTAGTTGGGCCGATATTCTCGATCCCTCGCTAACCTCTTCCACGGTACAAGGATGGCGTAACTTTCGAATAAGTTGCAGTTCGCTGTAACGAGCTTTTAAAATTCTCCACGGATTCTATACGAAAGGAAGGAAGGATATCGAAAGGCTTCATTTTTCCGGACGCGTTTCCTCCTCGATATATCGTCGTTCCGATTAATCCCCTTCCATTACAGTTGTCCCTTTTATTATAGTTGCCGTTCCACCGCAAGGATTCACCCAGGTGGTGGAAAGTTGGTGGCGGAATAGGAAACGAAAGTCGCGGAACTAATTTCGACCGCGCGGATCGTTTCGACCAATTAAACGATCCCTCTCCCTCTCTCTCTCTCTCTCTCTCTCTCAGCTCTACT